TGTCAGACAGAATGCGGACGTCGTCCGTTGTCAGTACCTACATGGACTTCTCACTTCCATGCTCCCTGGCTTAATCTAACAGTGTAATTATATGCACCAGAAAGACTCACCGTGTTTGCTACATATGGCCTTTGTTTATTTTCTTGTCCGGATGAGATTTTCATTTCCTAGCTGCTTGTCTAGATGGCTTAGATGCATAGCATGTCTCACGGCTGCGAATCCCTGTGTATGACACCAGAACTGCTTGATATTCACAAAGCCTGACAGTGCTAATGATGACTTTCCCCTGGATGTTTACAGAGACATTGCTTGGTTTGCATTGCAGTGGCATTTCCGGAGGAGAGACGTTGTTTACATTTTGATGTTTAACATCTTCAGGAGCGCTTTTCTTTTCTTTTTCTTTTCGATCTGCTAAAGGATGGCAAATAGGTAGGAAGAAAAAACTTAGAGAATATGTGTCATTAAAAGACTGTCTTACATTTCCTTCTATCTTCGAAAAATATGTGTATATTTTAGCCTGCGAGATTGACGATTTCATTAGGAAGCATTAAGGGCTATATTTTAAAGTCAGACTTTTGAGACCCCCATCACTATTCTACTCCATATCTCTGAAAGCCTAGGTGGGAAGGCTGTCTAAAATTGAAGAGTATATACACATTTGTATAAAATCCCCTGTCCTTTCCCTTCCACAGTTTGTCGCAATTAAATATTTAAGTCCCTTTGGTGATGGAAAGGGAATTTGGTGTTCTGATGGAAATGCTGTAGGGGGCGTAGATTATCCCTCTTTTTCTCCTGTGCTTTCCCTGGTGGTAATGAGCTGGCATTGTGCACATAAAAGCAACTGGCCTCTCTCCATGCGCGTGGGTGTTTAATACTCCAGCCTCATTGCATTGCCACAAGAATTATTAGGATGTACTAGGGTTACCTTTGCATTTGTTTCAGTCAAGTTCGTTGTTAGTTACTCCCCAAGTTTGGCAGTTATTTGGCTTGTTTGGTGGTAAATGTCGATGGTGGATGGATGAGGTATAAGGGGGAGGCTGGACCATGCCTGGCGCTTTTCTCACATCTGTGTCAACATGTTGGCTGCTCACCTGCATGTGTGGAGGTGACCAGAAGTGAGCAGAGCATGGGGCTTAGAGGACCTTCTGATTCCTTTTCAGTAGCACTTTGAACTCTATTTTCCAGTGAATTAAGCTGAACCCAGAGGAGCAGTATGCCTTAACTCAAGGAGCTAATACGTAGCTGGGCTGGGAGTAGAACTGGGGTCTCTTGGTTCCTAATCCAAAACTCTCTTCAATATATTTTTGAAAACATAACAATACATTTTCAAAAGTTAGAGTCTAGTAGGGTTTTCTGCTAAGTTTGGGGAAGCTACTGTTGCTTAGAAAACTTAAGTGGTGAGAAGTAAGTTGTCAGTCTAGTTAGCCGCCCTCTGAGGGTGGATGCTGGTGTCCTGGCCACACTATTTCTAATGGTTTTGGAACGCATTGTGTAATGGCATAAAGAATACCATGTTGAAATAAAGGAAATTTTGAGTTTAGTCCTGAATCTGAAAAACAAAATAAAGCATCTCTAAATCTTTAAGATGTTTTGCAACAATCTTTAGGTTCAGGAACTGTGGCTTTGCCAACTAAGCATGCTGATGGCTGTACTCTGGGTGCAAACATGTTGTAGAACAACTAAGATCCCAAAATGTACATTGTACTTACGTTCAATAAAGGGCTGAATCAGGCTTGGGTATCATGGATTCAGTTCTTTAGTGTACAACCTGATCCAGCTCTGTGTGTCACAAATATCAAATGGGGGCGTGCACTTCTGAGAACTTCAAACAGCTGCCTATGTAAAGTGATTTGGAGGGGAAATTAAAGCTAGATTTCTAAAGTCAGTAGTTTTAGAAAGAGCCTTCTTCTATTCCACTTAGTATCTAAGAACTCTCTAGGGCAGTGGTTCCCAATCTGTGGGTTGTGAATTCTTTGGGGGCATCAAACGACCCTTTCACAAGGGTTACCTAGCCATAAGAAACTTAGATATTTACATTATGATCCATAACAGTAGAAAAATTACAGTTACAAAGTAGCAATAAAAATAATTGTATCAGTTGGGGGTCACCACAATGTGACCAACTGTATTAAAGTGTCACCCCTTAGAAGGTTGAGAACCACTGATACTAGGGATAAATTAGGAAACACAAATGACAGCCAAGTCATTGAGTAAGCAGTCAGATACTTTAAAAGGGAACAAAAGATTAGTGAATCAGAAACACACACACACACGCACACACACACACCCTTGTGCATTGTCTGTTCTATCTCAGCATTCTGAGATGGCTCTCTTGTAATGCAATAGGGATACATCTGTTCTCCACCATTAGGATTTTAAATTTCACAGCAGCGCTAAGCTCCTGTAGGTGCTGCCAGCGTTCACACACTCCTGAAATAAAGACGCCAAGATAGATCATTGGCTTGTGTCCCAGTCTTTCTATCCACTTCAGTAACGTTTCTGGAGAGAATGGCCTTAAATACGATGGCCATGGAGACTCTATTCATGCCTCCTGCTGTGCTCTCACCAGGTCTAAGTGGAGAAGTAGAGACCTTTGTAAGACAGTGGCTGGACACCTTACCTTCATCATCTCTCCAAATCCAGTCTGGGAAAAGAAGGACTAAGTCACAAATGTGAAAAACAACACCTCCCGTGAATTGCAAACCCAGTCCTCAGGCACTCGTTTGTTGCACACACGGGGGCACAGACCCTCTTATTACTCAGCTCTAGAAGAGAGCGAATCTCTTACCAGGTGTTCCAGTCTTCAGCTGTAATGTGTGTGTTAGTGGAGAGGGAAATCCAGGGTGTTACACACAGGCACCACATTTCCTAAACTTAGACAAGCTTAGTGTGCTCGAACAAAAATGTTCAAATACTTCTCTGGGAATTAAAAGATACCTGTAGTGGGTTATCAATTTCAGGGGGAAATTGTTGTAGGGGTTGCTTGTTCATTTCCTGGTCACTCAGACACCTGAAATAATCACACAGAAATTAAATTATTTTAACCACTGTTTGGCCAATCACTTAATCGTATTGCCAGTTAGCTCTTAGATCTTTGGTTAACCCATTCTTTATTTTATATTTTACCATGAGTCTTGTGGCCTACCAGCAAGGTTCCGGCTGGTGCTTGTGTCTTATCTCCGGCCCTGGCTCCATGGCTTCTCTCTACTCTACCTTCTTTCTCCCAGCATTCAGTTTAGTTTTCCCCTCCTAGCTCTACTCTGCCCTATCAGGCCAAGCCAGTTTCTTTTTTCATTAACCAATAAAAGCAACACATAGACAGAATGACCTCCCACACAAGAAAATCAATTTATCAGTGGGGAATCAAACTAAGGGGAAATCAATCAGTGGGTAATCAGTTTCAGTGGAAATGGTGATTCATACTACCAATAAAGGTCCTGATTAAAACTTTAACTACAGGTATTGGAGAGTTGTTCAGAGATAGGCCATTTATGACTTGTAACATTTTGTTGAACATATTTAAGCAGAAAATGATAAAATGAATTATGTTAAAACTTTCTCAAAATCGGCATGACACATATACACACACATCTGAGGTTTTCTTCTGTTTTTATTTTGAAACTAGAGTTAATAATTTAATTTATTGGTTTTAAATTTATATGAAGCATTTTTATTTCTTATCTTAGTAAGAAATTTAGCATATTATTTAACAATAAATCATACTTCTTTCTAGGTGAATACTATTTATTTTATTGTAGCATGAGGTTAGTTGTACAAATATCACCAGAATTGTCTTATTCAGTTTCTTTTGGAACATTTTAATTTCTACATTTTGCTTTATTAGAAGGGAAATGACCATCATCTAGTAGCACAACTGAGTATCATTTCTACTTTCTCATTCTTTAATTAGTATTTTGATGAACTACATTGATATTATTGTTTCTTTTTCTGACACCTCTTATAACAACACAGAGGTATTCAGAAGGTGCTTATTAAATTATATACAACAGCAATACCTAGAATAAAGTTAGATATCAGAATAGAACATTAGCAAAGAACATTAGTGTCTAATCCGAGACACTGAGCCAACAGGGCTTAAATGGAAGTTATAACACATCAGACCTCTGGAATTGCACATTTTCTGTTTTCATGAGACTAAAGGGAAACTTAGTATCACGGTGGTGGAGTTTCCATGGTGTAATGGAACAATTTATTCTTCAGATTTTCCTATTTAGGGAAAAAACCTAGAGAATCCTCAAACTTCGTGGTTTGTTAATTTTATCTTTAGCTTGCCTTATTACTATATACTGATAAAGATCTTACTAATAAAGTCAGTATCATCACTAAATATAGATGAGCCTTTCAGTGACTAATAATCATAAAGACGTTGGATACCTCGGGTTGTCCCTTTGTTCTTGGATGAGTCATTTCTGCTTTAGATCCCTACTTTTGTCTAGGATGCTCTACTACACAAATTCGTTGCCTCTGCTTTATGCAACCTCACTTGGGTTTGTTGGGACACAATTTTCTTTGCTTTCTCTTTTGAGAAGAAAATGTTAAAAATGAGGAACATAGTCAAATTTTGAAAGCAGTTGCCATCTATACCAGTATGCATAGATATTTCTTTTGTTTTACTCAGCAGTACTTCTGTAATGAACATGAACTTTATGTTGGGTGGTTGAGATGGAGGGGCTGTTGTAGAGATTCACAATTATAGCCCAGGGTTTATAACATGGTGAAGAGTGTTGATCTCTTGCATCATGCTCTTTCCTCTGGGGTACCCTTTACAGCCTATTGGGAGGTTCATCTTCACATTGCAGTGTGTAGTCCTACCTCATGAATTCATGAAAATGACACAATGCTAGCAATGTGATTTGCTGTGCATGGACCAGATCTATTTAAATTGTGTCAATCCCCTGTTTTAAGAGGCTATTGTTCTCTGGATTTCTTATAAGAGAGAGGGTACTTACCTTAGTGTTTCATTGATTTTTCTCTTGCAGAACCTCAGATGGTGGCAAAGCAGTTGGCACCATAGAAGTGAGCCTCGTGAAGATGGGGGAGATTGAGGATGGGGATACCGACCACATCACGACAGATGTGCAGGGACAAAAGGTAGGATTGCAGGCAGCTTGCTGCGCAGATTAAATTAGAAATGATAAGCTTGGCCAGAAGCCTGTGTTGCCAACACCCTGTGGGCTTTGAAATCTCATTATTCAAAAGTTAAATGAGAAATCATCTCTGGAGTCGAAGCAGGATATGTGCATTTCCTCTGGAGCAGAGTGCCATTTACCCGGAGCTGTGCAAAGCTGTGTCATTCAGAACACCTTTCTCTTCCGTGCCAGCCCCCGTGTTGATATCATCTCTTCTCAGTGGGAACAAAAGTGGAGATCATTGTTGCATTCTGCCGTGATTACCCTGCATGAGGCACAGGGAGGATTCTGGGAAGGGGACAGCCAAGTGTAGCCTGCTCTTTATTCCCAAAGATGTATTTGGAAAGAGGCGCACTTCTAATTTGAATTTTATATGAAGGAGAGCATATTGAACAAGAACTTTGTGTTTTGTAAAATTGCACGGGGGGGAGACAGAGGAAGAGGGGGAGAGGGAGAGAGAAAGAGAGAGAGAAAAAATCAGATGTATGTCTGGAGGCCATTCAATGCTAGTAATGTAATAAATAAAGTAAAACGGTGTTTTTGAAGCTCAAGCCCAACGAATGTCTGCACAGGCCTTTCTCTTTCTTCTCCCTTTTCTATAACAACAGCAATAACAACAGACAATATAAATATCAGCCTAAATATTTTTCTTACAAATGTAATTTTTATTGTATTAAAGCAATTGAGGTGTACAGTTCAGGCTTTAAAAAGACTTCCAGGAGTTTAATAGGACATTTACTACTTCATGTTACATTATATATATATGTTTTGTTTATTTTATGTTATAATTTTAATGACAAAATAATTTTTCATACTATGACTTATACTTTGTCTTAAATGAACATTTTAAAGGATAAAGCCTGTTGTGACTTGTGCTTATTTCCTAGTTTGCTGCTCCTTAACGTGGAATATGTGTTAGTCAGGGTCTGTGAAGGAACAGAGCTGACACTGACACTGGTAGAATGAGTGTGTTTGTGTGTGTGTGTGTGTGTGTGTGTGTGTGTGTGTGTGTGTGTGTGTTATATGAAGGGCATGGTCCAGGTAGGCCAACAATGGCTGCCTCACACTGGAGAGGTGGAGAATTCGGTAGTTGTTCAGTCCATGAGGCTGGATGCCTCTGTGGTCCTGACCTGGTGCCAGAGGCCTGGAGGATCCCTGGAGACCTCTTGGTCTTCATTCATGTTGGCATGCCAAAGAAGTTGGTTCTGACATCAGGGAAAAAATGCCACAACAACAGGACGGATGAAATTGCCAACAAGAGTAAAGACTGGCAGGCCAAAAGCCATGCTTCTTCTTTGATGTCCCTGTCTCTGGGCTGCCACCAGAAGGCCCAGCCAACATTCAGGATGGATTTTTCTGCTTCGGCTAATCTGCCTGAGAAACACTGTCACAGGGACACCCAGCAGCTTGTGTTTCTGTTGGTTCCGTTTGTTGTCAAGCTGACAACCAAATTAGCTAGCACAGAATATGCTTGACATTTGAGCCTTGGGCAATATCTACTTGGGGGATTATGTTTACCTAACATTTACAAAACATATCTCTTCTTTTAAAAAAAGTATCAAAGACTGTCTTTCAAAAAAAAAGTTTCTCTTTTCCCTGAACAATCTGATATTTCCTCTTCCCCAAACCTCATTCCCCTCTTGCATCTTCCGAGAATGTTATCACACACTGACATATCCCAAGGCTCCAATGACAGTTGGGCCATGACAATTTCTGCAGCGGATCCTCGGGTTTGTGCATGTGAGACGTCTGGCCTGGGGCTTGGTCCTTCCACTCCAGCCGTGTTCCCTAGAGCATGCCACATAACAGCTCATCTTTGCCGCCATTGCACACATTCTCACATTAAGCTGGACAGAAGACAATTTGACGTCTAAACTGGGCACCAGGTGCTGAAGTAAGCAGACAGGCCTGCCCAAACCTGGAGCACCATAGCAGGATCCCAGCTGCCATAGCATCAGCTCCCACTTCAGAGATTAGCTGCTGCCCCTGCTTTCTCTGGAGCTCTCCATACTGACTGTTTTCTCAGCTCACCTGCTGTTGACACCAGGCTGTTTCCTGAGAGAAGCGGTGCGACCTGAGGGATCCGTGTGACCAGGACACATCCGCTGTATCCCCGCAGCTCACCCACCCCGGACTCCAGTTCACTGCTGTGATGATGATGCAAATGGAGGGATGCTGGGTCTGCCTTGAGCCCCCTCTGTATTCTCCTCACAATTCACCTGCCCTGTGCTCTAGTCCATTGTGGCAACGCTGCTGTGTAAAAGCCTGAGGAATGCTCTTCTCAGAAATGTAGAACTTGCTACCTGTGAGGATGGTAGCCCATCCAATGTAGCACATAATTTTAATGGGCCAGCAATGTGGATTCATCACAGATGAAACTTTTCTTTGATAGACGTTGACAGTCTCAGATCACACTGTGAGTGTCAGAAGTTAACAAGACAGGTAAACACGCCAAACATCGTTGGCATAAACTTTGTCCTGTTTGGACTTCCAACAAATCTTAACTTTTTGCAGTTTTCTCTTTATACAATGATTTATACTCCTCTGAAATTCCTAAGAAAATTTGTGATTAAGTGGTAAATATATATTAAATTCTCATATATACAATAACCATATGAATTTCATGAGAAAAAGGTTTATTTCAGTGCTTTATATCTTTTCAGAATAGCAGGAGGATAAATCTCTCTGTAGATCTTCCCACTCAAAATTGTCACAAAGTGTGGGCCAGCGTCTGTCACTACTGCTATGAGATGTCCGTGACTGACGACTGATAAAGAAGTTCATCCACTGAAAAAGTCAACTTCTTAAGAGTCCACATAGTTTCGAGTGGTGGGGGAGATGGCTCAGTTGATAACAGCACTAGCCAAACAAGCATCTGAGACCCAGCACCCCCATGAACAAGTTGAGCTTGGCTGTGGGTACCTGGATCTCCAACGCTGTGGGCCTGGGGTACAGACAGATTGATCCTGACAGCTTGCTGGCCAGCCATCTTGGTCAAAATGGCGAGCTTCCTGTTCAGTGAGAGACAGCCTCTCAAGACACTAAGATGGAGAATGGTAGAGGGAAACACTCAAAGTTCTGCCGTCTTCCACAGTGTGCACATGGATGCACAGTGTGCACAGACACATAGACACACACACGAGAGAGAGAGAGAGAGAGAGAGAGAGAGAGAGAGAGAGAGAGAGAGAAATAAAACGGCATGGATCGGGAGGAGGAACATAGAACTTCTACAGTTAGGTCAAGAAATGGCGTGTGTGTCATGTAGATTGAAACCTACTAAAGGCTGTCACTTGCATTAGCTAGTTTAGAATTCCATAAGGAAATGCATGGTCTAAATGACTTCTAAAACAGACGCTTATTTTCTTACAGTTCTAGAGTGTATAAACCTAAAATTCGTATGCTAGCCAATTTGGTAACTTGATATCTAGTGAGCAATATTCGTTGATTTAATCAGTTGTATGGGGTGTTGTCTGATTTTTTGTCATGGATCTGACTCTCCAGCGAATGGAAGAGTCGTTTCAAAATTACAGTGCTATTGAGTTGATATGATACCGTCTGATTTGCAGTTGGATGGGCAGCGTGGAGTGGGAAGGTCCCATATCTGTGTGTCGTCTGCACAGATGAGGATCTTCTATGAGGAATCAAGCATAAAGTGGTCTTTGCCCACAAAGAGCCAGCGCTGCCTCCACGGAGAACAATAGTATCTCAGAAGAACAGCCTGCTCTCTGGGAACTCAGTATTTTGTGTAGACGGTTCCATATAGATTACTCTGCCACCTTCTTTTGTCAATGCTCTTCTTCAAAAGACAATATCTCAAAGATGGATCTAATGATTTCATGGACAGCTGTCACACACAAACTAGGAAAGAGTCTCCACCCCAGTCTGAGGCAGTGAGATCTGACTTCAGCGAATAGACACTCCATGCTGAGATGATGATCACTGTGTTCCTAGATGGCCATTTCGTAGCTTTGTGTAAACGGAGATGAGATGAGGACATACTGGAAACGGGAGAGATGAGCCTTACGTGGACCCAAGTCTCACTGCAAGTGTCTCCGGTGATATCAGGAGTACCTTCCCTGCCTTGCTATGAGAAAGGGAGATTTCCACAAGTGACGTGTAGCTGCTCAGAAGAAGCATTTAAAAGAATAAAATTCATAGTAACCCCTCTGTATAGATGGAACTCAATGTAGAAATGGCAAAACCATATTAACAAGCTTACTGCATATTGTAACTGAACGTCACAGTCAAGGCACATGTAGTAGACAGAATTCAGAGTATTAATGAAGACGTGGATTGTCTGTCTTCATCTTCAAAACTGTCCCAGGAATATCCATACTCCTTTTTCATGAGGGTTCCATGTCTGAGCTTCTAGGAAAGACCATCCCTGGGAAAAGGAATAAGGGACAGAAATGAGGGTAAGACAGGAAATATGAGAGCAGACAGGAAATAGCCCATGGAATTTTAGGTCACCCCTTGGGGACGGGGATCTGAGGCTGTGGACTCTTCCCTGAAGAGCCTAGTAGGACCCACAGATAGATTACAGTTTCCCTAAGACTCTCACAACCAAAGAGCATTCTAGGCCTTCTATTTATTTTATTTTGTTTATATTAACTATTAATATCTGACGTGCTTGCTGTGGAAATTCTCCCTGCATCCTCTCCTCTTTGGCTAGAAGAAGGAACATTAGTCTCTCACCAGCCCACTGGGGATAGAATAATTTCATTTCTTCTGTCAGTTACAGCTTCATAGGAAGACAAGTGAGGAACCGTTTCAGGCCCTGACTCCTACTATGGCTTGATCACTGGGGACATGTAACTACGCTCTTCTGTTCCCTCCTCTCCTCTAACCAGGGATCCTTAGCCTCAGATGTTATGAACTCTTAATCACTAGCTTTGCAAGTCAGGTTATTTGTAACACACCTCTTATTTTATGAGAAAGGGTTTGCACTGTTTGGCTAAAAACAAAAAATATCTGTTTGTCCTAGAAATGAGACATATAGAATATGTCAAAATAGAAATATTATTCAATATACTTTTGTTTTATTTCATGTTTCCTCTACTTAAAATATAGGTGTTTGCATGCTGAAATTCACCAATGTGAAGAGAATATAAATATTTGGGTCTTTGGCTCACTTTCCTAAGGATGTAAATTTCACTTTTGTATTTGAAGGACAGTCATTTTCTTCTTTCTAGTTATTCCTTGAGTGACATTTAGCCAGAAATAAAGTGTACTTTGTAATTGCACAATTCATATGTATTACGTATAAACATGAATTAATGGTCACAGCTTAAGCAAACAATACATTCGAGATGGAGCTAGAAGCAGATAACTCGTTTAAAACTTTTGAAACCACATGCAGAGCTTCATGTTGTTGCAAACAAAAGTAAATCATTTAGTCTCTCATTTCATTATTTAAAGTGTGATTACATTTTTCCCCATTAATTCCTAGTGTGCACTAGCGTATGAATGTACAGCAGCGGAAAGTGGGAGCGGGAAGGACAACTCACCTTTATTAAATGCAGGTATGTAACTCAACTTTGGATACTTGTGTTACTGTTATATGAACATAAATTTTAATTTTCTCTGAAATCCATGGTATTGAACTTGGACTGCAATCTCTCAGAGGGCCTCTTGAGTACTCAGTTTACTCCATGCTTGATGGAGAAAAACATAACAGATTATTAATTTTCTATTTTCATGTGAGTGATAGGTTTAAGGGTGGGTGGCCTTCCACTCAGTTTTGAATATAGTTCTAAATGTCCTAATCCAGTAAATGTCAAGGAATGCGCAGGATGTAAGACATCAGCAGCTTCTTTTTAGTTACCTTATATTAGGAAGAATGAGGCCAATTGAGTCCGTGTTCTAAAGTTAGAGTTTTTAATTATAAAAACCCAAACTAAGTCTTAAACCTTAGATAAGAAGTGCGTTATGAAGATTTTTTTTTTTTAAAAAAAGGACTTCCTCATGACTTTGGCCTATGTGCCCCCATCTTTCCTTCTCTGTATTTACCTATCCAAGCTCAGCAGCTTTGGCATGAACCTGCTTGAATTCTCCTGGGAGAATTTTATTCTTTAGACAAAGGGAGCCATTGGCATTCTCTAGGTTTTGCATTTATGTATTCTATGGAACTTGGCAGTGTGGTGTGAGCTATGGAGTCCCTACTGAGTGGGAGAGAATTTCATATCACAATCTTCCATTTATGCCTCTAGAGATGTGATTCACAATTCAGGAAAGTCTGTTGTCTATTGTTAAAAACAAAAACTGTTTGCCTAAAGGTCTTATCCTTTTCCACCCTTGTCCGTGTTGCAGAGTTGAATGTGTGTGTGTTTGGAATCTGGGGATCTGAGGGCAGCAGAGAAAGCTCAAGGAGAAGTTCGTAGGTCACTAAGAAAGATCTGCCAGGACCTTAGCTGTCTGAGAAAAGAAGACTCCAGAAGCCACAGCAGCTGTCATGTTTGTGAAGCTCTGATACAATTTCATATTATAATTATGTAATTGATACAATAAAGTTGGAAACATGTGATTGGTTCCTTTTAGTTGTTATGTAAAAATATAATCAGAAGCAACTTAAGGAAACATTTTGTGGGTACTGATGGTTCCAGAGAGGGAAGAGTCCCTCATAGTGAGATGGCATGGCAGCAGGGAGCAGTATGGTGGCTAGAGCAGGAAGCTGAGAGATCACATCTTTAGTCCAAACAGGGAGCTTAGTGAACTGGAAGCAGAGTGGGGCTGTATACCACAAACCCCATCCTCAGCCATGTGCTTTTTCCTGAAGACTCCATAACCATCCCAAGCAGCACCACCGCCTACAGGCTACATGTCCCCATGCTTTAGCCTCTGGGCAACAGCTCTCATTCAATCTCCCTATTGTGTGTCTGATTTTTATTTTTTTTTATTTTTTAGACTAAATACTAGTAAGAAAGTTACATTTAATTTGGGAAAATGGGGAGTTGGGTCACTGAACTTGGAACTCAAAGAAGTGTAGCTGGTCAGGTGGCCTGCAGTCTCTAGGCTGGGCTTTCCTGTCTACTTCCATAGCACACGTACCTCCTCTGCCTCTCTGCCTCTGAGTAGCAGAAAAGCTCCTGTAGTGGTGAAAGATGATTGCACTGTTAAAGGAAGAGCACACTCAAGCTCCCAGAACTGGTGCCAAGCATCAAGGTGGCTCTAACTGGCTTTTCAGCCTTTGCATGCCAATGACCAAATTCTCCTGAGCAATGCTGGACTTCCCCTGCGAAATCTTGTTCTGCTTTGTTGCGTGTAACTGCATGAGTGACTGCATATATACCCACCTCTTCATGCATGTTTCTAGGCCAGAGGTAGGCTGTGGGTGGCTTTCTCAATCGCTCTTCACTTTGTTTTTTTGAATCAAGGTTTGACCCCCAACCCAGAGCTCACAGTTTCATCTGGACTGGCTGCCCTGGGGTCCCCGGAGTCAGTCTGTCCTTTCAGCTTCAAGCTTCTCCACCATGCTGAGGCTGGGGGTACATGCAGCCGCTCTCAGTGCTTGACAAGGGGAGCTGAGGACTTAACCCCATGCCCACAGGCCTGTGCAGCAGTAGGGGACCCCCTGAGCCTGCTCTCCAGAGCTGGCTTCTTTTTGACACTTTACTGTTTGAATTCATACAACAAGCACAGTTTTGATTTTAAAAATTTCCCATCTTTTTCAAAACATTCCACGAGCATTTCATAGTATGGACTTTCTTGTGGAGTCACATACAAACTCCTAATACACTGTAGTTATTTTCTAGGAATTCTCATTTTACATCCAAAAGCTTTTAGTTTTTTTTTTGAGAAGAAGATTCTCTCTATAATAATTATCAAATATGTACACCTATTTTATTTTTCTGAAGAGTATCTTACTCTCTGAATCTTTTTATTAGGATGTTAAATCAGACTGGCTCATGACCCTTTTATGAGTTTCTGGGTGTTAACAAACATTGGTTTTGATATAGCATCTTCCTTGGATACATCCCTATTGACTGAGTCATGAAATTAACCTTTGTCCTTTAAAGACCACTGTCATGCTGTATATTTAGATATCAAAGCCCTTCGTATTCTGGGTGAGGGTCATATGTATCAAAAAGTGGTAATTTCTAAGATTATAAGTTGAATGTAAACAGATATAGGGAATGTGCCACGGTCATTCACAAGTACATAGAGCCTACATTTCTATTTAGGGACTTTATTACTTCTTTTTGATTCAGAGATGAACCACAACCTGGTCATGAACCAGTCTGATTTAACATCCTAATAAAAAGATTCAGAGAGGAAGTTACTCTTTAGAAATATAAAATGTGTGTACATATTTGATAATTATTATAAAGAGAATCCTCGTCTCAAAACAGGCCCAATATATTCACTTCTTTCTTCACAAAATAGCATAGGCCACTTTCTCCTCTTCCTTTGGAGGTGATGCAGATTGCTAGCTCCTATGGATGTACTGCTTCTGTCTTTCCATTTTAGGATGTATTGCATACATTAATAATCATGGGACTCTTAAACCTGGAAAAATTAATTTCATATTGCTTAATAATAGGTCTTCTGCAGACATAATAAAAATCTTCCATACAATTCCAAAATTGTAGAATCTGACCAAAAAATTGTTGGCAAATAAATTTGGTTATTAAATTTGTTTTCAGTCCTGATATGTACACAACTTTGAGATTTCAAGTGAGCCAGACAAAACTGCTAGTTCTTCCACAGGGTCTTTTATTTAACAATGATCCCAAACCAGAGAAGGAGAGAGAGGGAAGAGGGGGTGGGGATGAATAGAAAGACAGAAACTTTCATTATTTCAGCTTCATTAGTAATGACCTTCAAGCTCCAGAATGGAGGGCATTGATATTTATGCATGTCTTCTCAATGATGCTCTGTTTAAACACAAGGCATCCAAGACTAGCTTTCTTGTGATGAGAATGGTCATTAGCCAGTAATGGGCACACATGGAAATAGAAGATGCCTAGAGTGGCAAGGAGCTCAGAAGTGCTGAGAGCAGGTACAGACAGAGCACTTGAATCAGCAATGCATTCTTTGCTCTTAAATGCATGACTCTTTTGGACCAGAGCACCATAGGAAATTGAAAACACCTTGTCAAATGACCAATGATGCATGTTTTTGCTAGATTGTAGGCTTCAGATAACAGATAATTGCATTTAAATTTTGAATGCTAGAATTTGTTTCCCTTAAAAGTCACTGTAAAATTCGTGTGTGTGTGTGTGCAATGCCTTATTCTGTAGCTCAGATTATCCCAGGACTCACAATGCTGCCTCTGCCCTGCCCCATATGCTACAGTTATAGGCAGATTCTACATGCAACATTTTTCTATTTTACATGTTGCCTTAGGATTTAATTGCATTCACAGAAACACACAACTAAATTAAACATTGAGATCGTATTCTCTTCACTAGCAACCAATCCATGATTGAGGATACCTCACGGCTGTAGAAATATTCACCCTGTTCATTCTGGGTGCTTATGGCTTCCAGCCAGATATCAGCTCTCCAGCACTATTTCTTTTCAGTTGTTTTCCTCTAGTGAAGAACGATGAATAAAAACTCAGAGACAGAAATTGGAGTTCAACCTGAAGGTCAGAAAAGCAAAACAGCTAGCCACTGGCTTTTATCTCAACTTCAGTCTGAAATGGCGATCCTGTGAATCTCAGAATGAGACTGTGTCTGAGAGCTGTCGCCTCCTGTATAATCCTCTCTAGTTCTGGGATTAAGGATGTGTAGCACTGTCATCTGGTTGCTATGGCGAACCAGTGTGGCTACTGGAATTAAAGGTGTGTGTCATTGCTGCCTGGTCTGTAAGGCTGATCAGTGTGGCTGTTTTACTTTTCTGATCTTCAGGCAAACTTGATTTATTAAAGTACAAATACTTGTTTAAATAATCTGCACCTGTGTGACTATTACTCTGTAATTTTAAAATTTAGGTCTATTTTGACTTAATACTCTGGTCCTGATTCCTTTGATTTTTTCATCGTTTAATTAGTTTACAAAACAATGTTTTTTCTCTATGGCGTCCTCCCTCACCCCATCTTGTACCTTGCTTATCTTCAGCCTCCATTTCCCTTTCTTGTCTAGGCCTTCCCGCTGGCCCCCACTTCCCTCCAAGACATCCTTTCCTTCTTCCACGGGCTCTTCTTGCCACTTGCCAGGTGTCTCTGTCCTTTGTTGTTTCTAATAATCTAATGTAATCAATGCGCCTTGCCTGTGGGGACTTCCCAGCTCTTCTCATTGAGTCTGTGCTAATATATTTAGGTTAATCAGCTTCAGGTGAAAGGGTAAATGTCCTCTAATCAGCGGAGCCATCTCTGAGATGGCATTTATGCCTCAAGCCTGGGCTCTGTTCGTCTCCTCTCTTATCTGCCCCAGGTAAACTAAGATAATCAGCACAGAAGATGACGCTGTCTGACAGGGAGACTTTGCTGGAAAGACATGCCGAGCACACAGACGCATTCACTCTTCCTACCACTCAGAGGACCTCTGCTTTAATAAGCAAGGACTTTGGCTTTGTCCCT